GCTGCCAGTATCTAAAGATAAAACAAGCAGTTTATACTGCCTCAGCATCTCATTCTGAAGGAATCCAAATGTGTTTTGAATATCCAGCTCTCAAGAAATACTTCGGTCACTGCTGAAACATACCTGCTTTTACAGTGGGGTATACAATAAAACTATCTGTAACTACAACATTTGTACACTACAGTCTTAGGCAAGAAATGATCGTTTTGCAACACTAGGACTCATTGACCCCATTAAGAACATTTGATTCTTAGACAGGCAAACATACAGGGTCTTAGTGATGACAGTTAGTCCCAGTTTTCTGCTTCATCCAACAGGCACCCATCTCTGCAGTGCTAGGCTTGGTAATACTGTTCTCTCAAATCCAAGGCTAATAGCTCTCTTGATGGGGAATCTAACATTTAAGATAGAACTGTTTTCCCATCCTGGAAAAACCAGGTGAGTTTTTCATACTTCAGAAATTTATCCATGAAAACATGCAGAGGGAAGGGATCTTGGCACTGGAGAAATGGGCCAACAAGAATCTCATTAAGTTTAAAAGGAAATGCGGAGCCCTGCAAATGGCAAGGAATAACTCCATGTACCAGCGTAAGCTGGAGGTCAACAGGGGGCAAAATAGCTTGTCAGGGAAGAACTTGGGGGTCCTAGTGGGTGAGAAGTTGGCTATGAGCTAGCAATAAGTGCTTGCAGCAAAGAAAGCCTACTGGGCTGCCTTGGGAAAAACACTGTCAGCGGGTCAAGGGAAGCGACCCTTCTCCTCTACTCAGCCCTGTGAAATGCATCTGAGTACTGTGCCCAGTTCCAGGCTCCTACATGGACATACTGGGGTGAGTCCAGCAAAGGGTCCCAAGGGTGATTAAGGAACTGGAGAATTTTACATACTGGGAGAGTGCTGAGAGCTGGGATTATTAAACCTGGAGAAGAGCAGGCTCTGGGGGGAGATCTCGTCCATGTGTAAGAGCAGCCAAAATAACAGGATGGAGGGAGGTGGTGTAAAGAAGGCAGAGCTAGACACAAACGCACACAAACCAATGAAGAGAAAACTCCCTTTAAACACAAAAAAAAACCTTTTTTACTTTAAGCGTTGTTAAACACAGAGACAGACTATCCAGAGAGCCTGTGAAGTCTCCATCCTTTAAGATATTCAAAACTTGACTAGACACAGCCCTGAGCAACCTGGTCTAGTTGCCTTGAGCAGGGGAGTTGCACCAGACGATTACTAAAGATCCCTCCCAAGCTCAACCATTCTGTGATTCTGTGTAGGGCAGTCTGAAGCCAAGTCCTGGCTCTGACTTCATTCCCAAAAAGGAAACAACTCTTACCTTGCCACCACCAATGCCCATGCCACAGTTATTGAGCTTGAGTTCCTGCAGGGTGTAGCATGCGGGGCTCTTCAGCAGCGCCTCAAAGCCACGCACACCGTCTGGCCCAAAGGCATTGTCACTCAGGTCCAGCTCCACCAGCTGGGCTCCAGCAGTGATGAGTGCATCCCCCAAAGAGATCTGTAAGGAAACAGATGGCAGTGGGTGGGAGGTAGGGAGTGGATTGACTTTTAGAGACAGCATCACTGCAGTGGCTAGGTATGACAGCAAAAAATTTCCACTTTGAAGACGTTCGTCAAAGCTGCACGGGGAAATAAAAACTTTACAGCTAAAGCCAGAGAAGAAGTTATACAAATTAAGCTACAGATAACCATAAGGTGGTTATCGAGAAATTAACCCATCCCTTTAGGTCAAATACACATTTTTCAAAGTGAGTTTCCCCCTCTCCGCTGCTAAAAGAAATACTGCTTTCATTCTGTCGAGTTTATCATGTTCTTGCTTCGCGGGACTCAAGGAGGCAGGGAGCTCTGTAATGCTCTTGGAAGAGACGACCATATGCTTTTACTTAGAAAGCTTAATTCCCATTCTATCGGATCACAAGGACGTTTTCCCCAGTGACAAGCTTCTTCACTAGCATGGACTTGCATTTGCCCTTTTATCAACTCTCCACCTCATACAGAAGGAGCAAAAAAGAATCAGTCGCCTATTCCGAGACACTTGCTGCTAACAGCATAGAGAAATATCAGCTCTGTGCTAAAAAACATAACTCCCACAAAAAGCATGACAGGTGAGAAAAGAAGTTATGTTAGTCAGAAGCCTCAGATCTAGTTTTTACTTACTAAAGCAGGAGGTATCTCAGACCTCAGTCTCCCTGTGAACATGTCACTCCAATGACACCTCTAAAATAAGAAACATACATAAAGAAATCATTAAAAATATTTAGGACGACAGAGCTGTACAGAGGTTTACACATACAAACTGCATTATATCACTGGGGACAGCTTAATACTGTCTGCCTTCCCTCCCCTTGGGCTTGTCATCTGATTGTACTAAAGAGCAACAAGAACTAACGCTAGAATTACTTCACTTGCAAGGACATAAAGCCACTGAAATGCACATTGTAAAAAACACTATACAAGAATTCTTGCTTGCATTCAAGCTGGAATTCTTTTCTGCTGAGAAAATTACCACAGGAAAAAGCAGCAGGAAACTGAAGGATACATTAACAATTCAGATTTTACTAAGGTATGGAGCTCAACAATCTGGACTTGCTTGAAAAGCCACACTTGGGTGATTAACGTGAATCGATGTTTCATCCTCCTCTCTGCAAAGGACAGTGCCTCTAGCAGCACAGCATCCTCCTAACACTAGGCTAGAGCATTAGTAGGGAAACACAGCTTGGACACAGAAAAACCTCCTGGTGCACTGCCTCCATTATTCCTTCCCTATTGACGCATTCTCTGAAGACTCATTCTTTAGAGGATCTGATCATTCTCCAGAAGATACGAGCCAGCTTTTCCATTAGAACTTAAGTTCTGTTGTCACAGTTCTTTGTTTCCAGATGCTTCCTCTGCAGAGAGGCTCTTCCTTGCACAGATTCCCAGTTTTAAGACTGGAAGGAAGCCTTCTGAACAGGAAGAGTTAGGACTGCAGAAAGCATTCCCACTGTCCCAAAGCTCTGCCATATTTTTGTATGGTTGCTCTTCCTACTGGAAGAACCACCAAGCAAGCTTTGGGGCCAACTCAAGGCAGGCTACTGCCGGAAAAGCCTAGACAGGCCTTCAGTATTTCTACATCACTTCTTCCCCTCCGCCACCACCCACTTGAGGATCTCACCTTGAGCTCCGATTTCTTCTCCAAGGCTTTGGCAATGACCTTTGCTGCCTCCACACCCACCGTGTTGCCTTCCAGGCGCAATGCTTCCAGGCCATCAAATTCCTCAATTTGCTTGATCACTTCTTCGGCTGCAAAAAAGCAGAGAGTCTTGTTGACCTTTTAACTATCACCTTAGGTACCACAGTAACACTCTGATGCACCAATACTTGCTCAGCTCTACCCTTAGCAAAAAACCAGCTGAGCAATGTTATCTGAAAGAATCCTGAAACAGCAATGGAGAACAGAGCTAAAACGGCAGGTCACTAAAGAGAACATCCTCCATTCCCCACTCTGCCTTTTCATAATTTATTTCTAGTTCTATACTCTGATAGCCATTCTCCTGTTTGCAAGAGTTAAGTTTCCTTACTTACTCCTAAGTAAGACTCCTCTGGCAATTCAGCACATAGTTTAGGAGCTAGAGTGCTTGTGCCTACAAAGATGCAAGGACTAAGCTCACAGTTGCTAGATGGGCTAGATGGCCTTCAACGGTCCCTTCCAACCCCAGTTACCCTATGATTCTATGATACTAAAACAGCACGTAAAAAAAGTGTTACCTTTGGAATCAGTAAAAAAAGCTACGCACTATAGGAAATAACCTCTCTGAAGAACATGCTGGTTCTTGGTGTGGCAGAAATGGTGATCTAAGAATACATACATATTCTCCAGATATTTACTATGTTAGCAGCTACTGCCAGACATTTTTAGTTGGGATACACACATAAACCAGCAAGAGAGAGATTCCAGGGGGAGGGGAGTCTAAGAAATTGATCAGAATTTGGGAAAGAACTGGACTATTGCAGCAGACTAACATAACAGCCCATTCCTCCGCGCAGCTCTTTGAAGCATCTACTTGTTCCAAGTGCTGTCATGCACTTGCTTACTCTTTTTAAAACGAGCACTGACTTCTAACGCGCCGTGACTGTCAAAAGCGCTGGGAGAGAACAGCGTGAAAACAAGAATCACACACCAGAGTGCCAAAGCCCAATTCTGCCAGCTGTAGCACTGCCAGTGTAGCAGGTCAAAGCAGTGTACGCAAGGAGGGAAGGAAACGTCTCTGTCGGAGGCAGCTGTAGCTGAAAGACCCTTCCATGCAGCTAAGACAACTTGGCCATGCAGCATTAGCAGGAGGTTTTCCACAAGAGTTTAGAATTTCAGGGAGACACTTCCCAAACACAAGGGTATTTTCTCTTACCATCTTCCGCTGTGTTGAGTTTAAGGCTCTGGCCTTTGAAGCTCAACTGCCCGCCACCCACTTTGGTTTTGGCAAGTGACTCCGCAAGCTTAGTGATGTCTTCTGATGCCATTTTCTCGCTCTTCCAAATGTTAAGAGCTGTCAATTAAAAGACGACGTCAACATAAAAAAAAAGGCAAACTACAATACATACTCTGTATGGATAATCATATTCATCTTGTTCCCGAGATATCTAATCAAGTTTTCAGCGTCATTAGTGCTTTCCCCACAGCTCGCTCACGACAGCTAAGCTAGATTGATACTCCAAAGCCAGCCAGTCAGATGGTGCCGATTCCTCCAATCCTGACGAGACTTGGGTTTTGATGGAGTTGTTACACTTTGTAAACAACCAGTAGCTAAAACTATGGGCTAGGGCCACATTAAGAAATTACTCACTGTGCAACACTTCTACAATTAAAAGGTAACATCCCTCTCTCCTCAAACCCCATCCTTTAGTTACACACACTGTGCATTTCCCCTGCCTGTCCTCCAAAGCAAGCTAGAACGAACACAACTGTTTTCCCTTTCCAGTGATATCCCCAGTAGTGCCCTCGTCAGCACAGTTCTAGAACCACCCAGTGGCTGTGTTGCCTACAAAACCCTCCCTCAGGTTTGTGGGTTCTCTTTCCTTTTGGATGTCCCACATAGATTCATCACACATGTTAAACAGGATGATGGATTACACTGACGACGGATTAGCAAACGTTTTGCCTTGAGACACAAGTCTGAAGCTACCCATACCCAGCAGCATCTGCATACCATTATTTAACGAATATCAAGCCCCACGTGAAGTAAGTGGTCTCCATTCATTCAAAAGGATAAACGGAGCAAGTCTCTTATCCCAGCAGAGGTGCTGGGATAAAAGACTACACACAACTAGTGCTTAGAAGCAACATACTTATAAAACAGACTTCTGGTGTCAGCAGGGATGAAGGTTCATTCCTACAACAGAAAACTGGCTCCCTTCCGTTCTCGTCCGGCCCTGCACTCTTGCAGCTCTTTGAGCTCAACGGTGCTGGTACTAAAACACCCCTCAAACAAAAGCTATACATCCATCCATTCCTGCCAGTACCTAGCTGTGAAGTATTCACCTTCAGCTTCCTCAGAGTACAGTTTCTCTTCAGCTTTCTT